TGTGATCATTTTGACCCCACGGGGTGAGATCTTGCGTGGAGCCCCAGATCGAGGGAGATTATCAGTGGTCTTGTGGCTAACCCATCATATTGTTTCCTACCAATCCCTATTCTTCAGAATTCTTCCTGTATCCTGCATCCTGGACTTACCCTTTCCTTTTTTTTTCTCCATTAGATGGGCACACTTGCATACAAAATCCTGTGTTGCAGCCATCCATTATTGTTATTCTCAGTGTGCCAGCAACTAACATATTTGCTTTTAATTTAAATTATTAAAAAAAAAATAGGTGGGCTAAGAACCTATGGGTACTGAGAAAGGTGTCCATAAATATATTGGTGCCTACAGGCACTATACTGGACACTCAAGACTAGTCTGTATCATGATGAAAACACCAACCAGAGGGGAACTGATCTTGGGTTCAGTTCTAAGTGATGTTCAGGACTTGGTAAGAAATTTAACTATTCTTGGACCAACTAGGAATAATGACTACAATGTAATGAAGTTCCATTATTTATAAATGGACAAGTGCCCCCAAAAGGTAAAAAATGGTCATATTGACTACCAAGAAGGATTTTTTTGAAAAATTAAGATTAGGACGAAGGAAGTTGAACATTATGTACTTTTGCTTGTGCTAAATTTTGGTAATAATGTATTCTGTTCTTACAAGACCATTTTGCTCCACTCATTGAAAAACGTCCATTGCTTTCTGCAGAAGAGATCATCTACTTCTGGTTTATGTCAACTTTTAGTGAGATGTTATTGCTGTAGGTTAAGACTTGATGAGAACTTTAGTATCTATGTCTGAATAGTATAAAGACCAAGAGTGACTGCTCTTATCTTTAACTAGTTTATGGTGTAATCAACTACTGTCATTCAGTAGTCAAATGGATGTCCTAGCTACTACTGTATCCTTTAACTATGCACTAAAGAGGTCCCCTTTAAAAAATGGTGGCAGTGATTGTTTGAACTCAATTGTACATGAAGATAAATGAAGACAACAGCAGCACTGGAGTGCCTGTCTTTAAGGTGGTGCTATTTGAATTTGAACTTTGTAAATTACTGTATGACCAGTTGTACCTTCAGTAATACCTTGGTTCACGAACGCTTCTGTTCACGAACAATTCGGTTCGCGAACAGCAGCGTTCCCAAATTTTTGCTTCCGTTTGCGAACTCCGCATAGGGTGACGAACACGACCCACGACCATCTTCCTTGCTCTGACACGTGGTCATGGCTTCCTCTAGGCGAGATCGTGGTCGCAGACAGACACTTGCTGTGAAGCT